AAGCCTGACCTTCAGTGAATGAGCCTCTGGCCACAATTTTCTTCTGTGTCTTGGGGGAAGCATGCCTCACTGCCTTATAATATTTTCTAACTAGCTCAGCTGTCTACAATATTACCCCTCTGAAGAAGTATCCCTAACTGTGGTTAGGGGAGAAGAGGCATAGTTTCCAGCTAGCTTCTCTGAGCTGAGAAGGGTTAATGTAGGATAAACCATAATCAGGGGCCCTCTCCAGAGAGCTAATCTAATCTAATGCACCTCACATTGAAGTCATGTTGTAGTTTACCAGTTATGAACTTTTTACAAGGTAGATCTGGTGGATCCTGGTAAAAAGAGTCTAGTGCATTTTTCATCAGTTCCATCTGTATGATCACTTGGAGTTTGGCAGCCTCAAAGTTGTAGGATCCTGTAGAAAAGTTTCCCTCATGTCCTGGGTCCTCATTGACCTTGGAGGGCTAGGCCCAAAATATTGGCTGCTCTCTTTGTCCAGTTACCTTCCTAGTTCTGATCTCCAAACTTTACTTGTACTCAGTTATCAATGAAGCAAGATGTCTTCAGCTGATGTAATCCTGTCCTGGAGTATCATGGCATCATGGGACCATTGAGATCTTAGCTCTTCTCCAGTGGCTCCTTTCATTGAGGTTTGATGGCTGGGCCTCGTCCATAGAGATGACAGTTTGGTCAGAGGGAGAAGACAGAGAATGCCCAGGAGTCCTTTAGTCTTGCTGAACACTCTGGTAGGATGGGCCTTAGCTCTGGGGCCTCTACCTCAGAGCACTGTGTGACTTCCAGTGGCCACCTTGACATTCAGGGCATGGCTTACGGGGCCTCTTATGGCAGTCCCTCTCAAGATGGCCTGGCTTTCCACAGTGGTAGCAGGTGAGGTTAATAGTTGTGCTCTTTTGGGGGCTAGGTCTGTTCTTTTTAGGGTCATGAAGCAACCACTTTCTTTTGGTCTCTTTATTTTCTCCTTTTGGCTTCCTCCTGGTCTTGATTATAAAATATGAAGGAGGCAATTTTACTAAAGTATCAAGAAGTCTATTTAGATCAAAAGCCATTTTTTGTAACTTTTTTCCTAATATCTGGTGCTGACTGGGTAATAAACATGTCTTTAAAAATAGTCTGTCTTTCCATTGAATCAGGAGGTAGGGATGTGTTGCATTAAAGCCTCTTGTAAATGATATAAGAAGGCAGTACGGTTCTCATCTTTCTCTTGATAAATAGTTGACAATGCAATATAACCAAAGGGCTTAGTTCTCTTCTTTCTTACATCTTCAAGAATATATGCCTGAAAAGTTTCTCCTATTCTAATCTCCTGTCTGGTTGGCAGGCCAGTGGGGGCCTTGTATGTAAACTACTTTTGTTCCAGTAGGAATTGACTGTTCTCCTGGTTGCCCGTCCTTTGAACTTCTAAAATTATGATATTTATCTCCAAATGTAGTACAAGCTTGTAATGCTGCTTGTCACTCACTAGAAGTCAATGTTTAATTTGAGAGCAACATTATATCTTTCCAGTCTAGTTTATAAATTTGAGTGAGTGTTCTAGGTACCTCAATGTAATTATTAGAGTTGTCTGAAAACTTTTCTAGGTCTCATTTGATCTATCTTAGGTCACTAGAGGAAAAGACATATAAACTTGAGTAGTGCAATATATGTAATTTACTTCCTATAAGGGATATTGTCTTGAGGGGCCTGAAAAATTAGCTAAGGATAGATATAGCTGCATAAAGACTTCAATTACAGCTGGCCTAGAAGCCCCACACTCAACACCCAAAGGGCGAGTAGGGAAAGTCTCAGACTCAGTAATAGTGGGCAAGGCTTTGATTAACAGTCCCTTGGAAACCTCATCCTCATTCCAGAGGGCAAGGAAGAATAGCCTTAGAGTCAGTGGTTGTGAATGAAGGGCCAGGTATCTGGTTTTCCTGTGGCTTACATTTACATTTTGAGCACAAGTAAGGATTGTTTCTTTTTTTTTCCCCATTAAGTTTATTGGTACATTATAGGTATAAAATACAGTTACATTCATCATTGGGATCTTGTACCTTTACATGAGTATCTTGGTTCTTATATTTTTCTCTTCCCCTCCCATCCCTTCACCCTCTCCACCCTTCCCTATTTGCAAAATTTTGTTTCCATTTTTTTCCTTTTCTCATATTTTTTCTTTCCCCTTCTTTCCTTTTCCCTACCCCTCCCACTTCCCCTGCTCCTCCTTTAGACCTTTTCTTCCTATTACACAATATCAATTATACGTTTTTTAAATTACAATATCAAGATCTAGGAGACATTACCACAGATTTTATAGAATTTAAAAGGATATAGAGAGCATACTACAAAAATCTTTTTTGAAATAAATTTGACAACTTCTAAGAAGTACCTTGGAAGACAAATTAATGAACCCAACTCTGGAGGAAATATAAAATTTGAATAGCACCTATTAAAGAAAGTACATTCCTAGCTTGAAAACCTACCTAAATGACACCAACAGGGTCATATACATTTTAACTGATAAATTATATCAAACATTTAAGGCAGAAAAAAGAAGGAACACTTCTCTCATTTTAGGAACTCAACATTGTGCTAATGCTAAAAACTGGATAAAGATAATAGAAGAAAAATGTATGAACATAGAAATTTGTTTAACAAAACAAACTATTAGAAGTCAGATCTGGCAGTATGTAGAA